CATGAAAAAGTTAAGGGATATTTTAGATTTTTTTACACAGACCTGACTTTTTACCGTCCTGTACCCTACCCTATGAATAAAAAAATTTACAAAAAAATCTTTAAATTTCTATTCATTTATAGTAAAAAAAGTTCACGGTGATTGTGTCAAAAATGAGAGTGCTAGGTAAAAAAAATAGAGGGAGGAGCGCAAATGCATGTTTAGGATTAAAGAAGAATAATACAGATAGAAGTATCCAGTTTATGAAACATGTTAATTATAGGAAAGACATATCTACACAATAAAAATATTCAATTTAAAGTGTATTGTTATAAAGGAATTAAGTAAAGATTGTACAATTTTGGATGTGTAAACGGTTAAGTGAAAACCTGATGATAACACTTAAAGGTAATAGAAACTGGTTCAAGTGTTTGCTCTTTGCATACCACACACAATGAAGTTTATAAAGGTAAAAAAAAGTTAAGAATCTTGTCAATTTCTAAAGAAATTATTTTAAGAATAAAAAAATAAAAATCATTTAAAGTTGGTCTGCAAAAGTATATATTTATACTTTTTAAATAAATATATATGTATATTGTAAAAGATATCAGAGAATGTACGTAAAATTGGGTTTGCATAATCTTTGAATTTTAAATAAAAATCTTAATTAAATTCAAAATCCAAATTTAACAAGTTGCAAGAAGAAAATACAAAATTAATAAAATGAAAAGTATCTAAAATTGAAATTCCAAAACTTTTTTTATAAAAAAGAGGAATTTGAAGTAATAAAAATACTTTCAAAATTCATGCTGGTTGATATTAAAAGGAAAAAAATTCCATTTTCTTACAGAATTTCAGGATGTTTTTATATGAATATAATTATTTAAAGATGTTTTTAAATTTATTCTTTCCAACAAACTCAAATTTTCTAATTCTTATATCTTTGCAACCAGATGGTGTAAACCTTTGATATTTCAAACTTAGATCTAACAGAATTAATAGTTTGAAATACTACAACATTGGGTTGTAAAGATAGGGATTAGAAAGTTTGAGTTTGTAGCAATCACTTATTTCCTTTATCAATAGAATTGATTTATAATGATTTCAATTTATAATTACTTTTCCCGTTCATATATTCTTCCATGAAAGGATTCTGAAAACCCTTAATATTGCATACATTAAAGAAGTCATAAGGTAAATATGCTACAATGAAAGCGTACAAATTGCGAGAAAAAAAAGCTATACTTTACAGTTTTTTTTACAAGAAATTACAACGATTTAGGAGAATCTAGATATATAAATAGATTCTAAGGAGCATGTATAAAAGATTAGGGGGCGTTGCAAGCGCGCACAAGTATTTGTTTCGTCTCTATGTGCCCCCCCCCCCCCGACAATTTAAAGTATTAGAGGTGGATAATCAGAACTCTGATTTAAAAAAGAAATAATATTCATCTCTGAGTCTCCATTATGTGAACTATTTATATGAGTAACTCTGATCACTAATTATATTTACTACTGGGGCTTATGTGTCTAATTGAAAATAAATGAAATATCTAGAAAACTAACATGCACACAAAATGTTATTTTTTGAAAACAATAAATTAATAAATCGTAAGATTATTTCAATTCTTTGTTTCAATTGTGTTTTCAGTAACCATTCAAAGTTTGCAAGAAATATCCAGCAACAAGAAATGATTTCTTTGATTTCCTAAAGCTTTAGTTATTGAGTTGAATTTTCGATTCACAATGGTACCCTTTAAGCCCTTTTCTCATCGACAGGGAAGAAATTGGCCAAACAATTTCAAATATTCTTCGTCCGTCTAATGCGCTTTCTAAAAATACTGTATCCCGAGCCAGAATGATGGTTTTTTTTGATAAAATGTTAAAATTGTAGTTACAGGGGAAATAAATACCTTTTTTTAGTTTCTGTGTTCCGTTGTCTTATAAACATGCTATTAATAGAATGAAGCCAAGCCGACTTTTCGACACCGCATCGATCTGAACGTTTGCTAACATTTTTACATTTACCAATTAAGTATTTGTTTTGTATTCATTTGTGTTATAACTCGAGCATCGTGAAGGAATGTTATAGTATGAATGTTTATTTCAGTTCTTTTTATTCAAGTTCTAGAATACAAATAAAAATTATCATTTTCTATTATTACTTCCGCTTGGAAAAAGTATATAGACATCACTCCAAATTAAAGTAAAATATGTTTTCAATCATAACTTCTAGAATTGAAAAGTTTTTGAGAAGAAGAAAAATTTGAATTTCTAATATGTAACAAATTAAAGGAATCGAGTCTATGCCACAAACTCTAATCCCTTTATCTTTGCAACCTTAGAATTTCAAACTATAAATTCTTTGTGAACAAATAATCTAAGTTTAAAATATCTTGTAAGGTCTACGACATTGGGTTCTCATACTTGTACATAAAATCAAAACTAGATGAGCTACGTGGTCACAAAATTGTATCAGTGATGTCGCATAAATTTTACTAACTCCTTTAGTCTAGTTTGTTATGTAATATTATTTTAATATTAGATAGCTTGCATAGTGCTTTCAAAGGTATCAACAAGTATAAAGACTTTCTGCGAATAAAACAATTGGATAACCTGCATTTTTTTTAGTCAATGGTTCAAAGGGTGCCTTTGTGAATAGAATTCACTTAAAATTGCATCTACAATCGGTCCCTTTATATATACAACCTTTAACCCTATTCCCGCTGGGGGGGGTCAATTTTACCCCCCCCTGTAGTTTTTTTTACATAACTCAAAAAGTATTGGTCTGAGGCTGTTGATATTTTCTGACTTTTCTTACATACCCAAAGCCCTCCCTTTAGGACAAAATCTTTTTCTTCTTTGTTTTGAAATGTAAACAAAAAGAACATGTTCACAATTTAAATAGAAGATGGGCGCGAAGCGCCCTAAAAGCCTAGTATTATAGATATATACTCTTTGATGTATGCAAATGTAGTATTTACATTGTACATTTAAATATCTTTAAAAGTTGTCTAAAGCCTTGTTTCTTTGTTAAGTTAAATTGAATAAAATCAGATGAAGCCATCGTTCTACAATTTATCATCGTAAATCCATATATTATTCTATGATAAATTCCTTCGATAATTTAGATTTCCATGCAGCAATTTTGCACAGCATCTGTATAGTAAGTTTATTGTCTCTTATTTATTTTTTTTCTGCAATTTACATAATCTTCATTAAACTCACTGAACAATAAATTGTATCTATTCATACAGATTTAAACATAAAATTCTGCTCTAATCTCGGTGTTTGAAAATTAAAAACACAGCGCCGCACCACGTCTTTTGAAAAACCTGAAAGTCTAAAATTGTTTAGGTACACAAATGTGAAAAACTATTTTCAGTTCTTCTATTATTTAAATTGTTCTCATCTGGTCAAATTTTCTCAACAGTGGATCTGGAATATTTCTTTTTCCTCTTAAAAATATACCAACATTTCATTATTTGATATTTTCTTTTATTAAAATCCAGCAGCACACTAACTGTAATTTATGGGTTTGGAGAAAATTTCATATGAACATAAAATTAGAGTTAGAAATTAGAAAATTTAAATAAACCAAAAGTTTACAAATAGACAAACACATTAAATATTCATATGTTCCACATAAAGAAAAGAATAAAATTATGAGAGAAAAATATCACATTCTTAACTAATTGAAATAGAAAGCAGAAATTTAGGAAAATAAACCCAATATTGCTTATCCCTCAAATAATGTATATACATTATTTTCTTTCAAACTAAAAATATTTTATGAGAAATTTCAACATAATGAAAAAAATATTGATAATAAATAAACAACTTTAATTTATTATGATTGTGGCTAGGTATGAAAGTCAATAAAAATAAAATTGGTAAAAAAGTAACAATGTAACCGTTGATGAAAGATCTAATCTTTATATTTGCTCAATCATGGACCGAATTTAATGAAGTGGAGCTACATCGCTGAACTACCATACCTCCGGTTAAAATTTAAACCAACGATAAAAGTTGAAGATTAAGGAGGGATTTGAATCTGCGATTCAAGTTTAAACCAGAGGTATAGCAGTTCAAATTCATTAAATCTCAGATGATGTAAACCTTTAAGAATATCCAATCTCTGACTATTTTCTAGCAGAGTAGCATAGATAGAAATGTCAACAGTTAAACATAGGGATCAGAAAATTAAGGTTAATTTAACAAAGATAATATAATACACTGTGACCATGTCAGGTTACATTTGTTGCATAAAACGTGCTGGGTCGACTATACGCAGGCCACAGGGTCGACTCTGTACTGGGTAATCCAGACTGGAGAGTACGACTGAATGCATATACAGCACATATTGTACCAGTTCGGATTATGCTACTTTTAGAGTTGGGTGTTTAGAAAAAAGTACATGTCCGTATCATCAATTTTATGGCATTGCTTTCCTCAAGAAAAAAAAAAGTTTTTATGAAATTCAACAAATGAAATTAGGCCTTCTTAAAATGGTTTTCTTCAGTGTACATGTATCCCTAATTATCTCATGTTACCTAACAAAGCAAGTTAATTACAAAAAAAAATTTCAAAAGAGAAATGAATCCATTTACAAAAAAGAAATCCTTTCACAAAAGTCTAATACCTATGTATCATATCAACAGAGTGTCCCCTTGGCAAATTTAAGGTATATTCTTATTTTATTATAAAGATTTATTTACAGACAAAACTTGATCATGGTGTAGTTTAGATTTGTTTATATATTTCAAATGTATAGTTTTCCAAGAGAAAAATTATTCAAAAGTATGCAAACATAGACAACAGTGCTCAGAACTAATTGCATAACAAATTTATCATTTCAAATATTTCATTATTATAAAAATTATTCATTCTTGTGTTCAGTAGTTCTTGTAAAATCGGAATTTTCCATGCTATTCCAAACTATCATTTTACTAAGTTAAGTTAGATTACCACTACCATAGTTCTAAATCTGTGATTTAAATTTTTATCTATAAATTCTATACCTTTACTTTCCTTTCTTCTGCACTTCCACCATTAATTGTAAACAAAGACCTTCCCAGCACAAGGATTTGTTCAGAGTGACGGAGAAATCAGAGAATTCTCCGGAGCCTGTTGATAAACAACATCCTCCTCCTCTCATCCTCACATCCTCGTCCCTCCAATCTAGTCTGCAGCTCTCGGTTCTTTAAATAGACTTAATTCCACTTTCAACCAATCCTGAGAATGTACAAATACCAAGATTCTTATGTACTGTATATACCTACAGTACATTCCTTCGCTTCGTTATTACTTACACACACTCTTTTGGCACAGACACACGTACATAAATGACGTTTCAAACATATTCAAAGTAAAGATAAAGAACGTCTGTCAATGTATTAGTAATAGTGAATAAACAAAATATATATATAAATGATTTATGCCAGACCAAGCTCGAATAGTTGAAATTGCCATTGACGATTTTTCAAAAAAATAAACCACCCCCAGAAGTGGGATTTAAACCTATATTTTTTTTTGGGGGGGGGGGGGGTTGAAAGATGTCAACCAGGGTTATACGAATTACACAGATTCCCGGAATCTCTACACCCGGGGCGCCCTCATCCAGGGTTCTGGAATAGAACATTCCCAAGGAAATTTTCAAACAGACATGGTTACACGCGTATCATTTAGAGCTAGGTATAATACTGATAATTGCGACTTGTCTGGGGACCAACAGTTTTCTTTCAATAAATAAATAAGCAATCCATTCTAATTCATCTCAAGTAAATGGATTGATATAAATTCAATGAGCTGAGAGATGATATGATATCATTCAGCAGCTTCCTGAACGATGGGTTTCCAAGCAGAATGTTGTGAGACAGAATTAAACTTTAACAGATATATTTATATCAATAAAATATAAACTGATAAATGCTATTTATTTATACCTTGAGAGATAGACATTGGGTAGTTTTTGAAACTGGTACTGGGATCGAAAGTAAAGCCTTTGCATAAACCATTTTAATAGAGGAGGGGCAAATGGTGGACCTCGACGTCTGGAATTTGTATGATATAAAAGGGTTTTATTCATATCACCTCTCAGCTCATTGAATTTCTGCAAGTATGAAAAAATCATATTTATTCTGTTATATATTAGAAATTCAAACATTTTTGTGTTTCTTAAAAACTCTTTAACTAAAAATTTTGAATATTTTATGATTGAAAACCAATATGATATCAATCAATTTACTTGAGATAAATTAGAATAGGATGCTTATTCATTTATTTAAAGAAAACTGTTGGTCCCCAGACTGAATTATTTTTTTTAAAAGAGATTTTATTGTCGGCAGGACATGATCGGGTTGTTACGATCAAATTTTTTCTATTACCGAAAGTTTGGTGTTGTCTGGGTTTTATATTGATCTACCAGGAGTTATAATCTGGCAGCACATTCATCCATTCACGCTTCATTCATTCTGAGAAGAGGGTTGACAAGATTCCAGCTGCCTAAGATTCTTCTTAGGCCTGAGAATATAGAGAGCAGGAATCCTTCTGATATACTGGAATGAGGCCCGACATTCTTTTTTAACTTTTTTAACTTTTTTAAAAACCCTAACCATGTAAAGTTAGAGGTCTATTATTTTAATTAGTAGGCGTTAAAAAGTTGGACAAGAGACATGTATTGCACTCCCCTACATCAACCCTGAGGGCAAAATCTATAATAAAAAAATAGCCCAATCGCACCCCCCCCCCTCTGATAAGTTCTAGGGTTAATTCGTTACCGCCCCCTCTCTAGAAGGTTCTAGGACTATTTCATTACTGGCCCTGCCTCTACGAGGGTCTAGGACTATAATTCTTACCGCCCCCACCCCTCTAGGAGGTTCTAGGACTAACTCTTACTGCCCGGCCCCCCCCCCTCTAGGAGGTTCTAGAGCAAATTCTTTACCACCCTCCCCCCCCCTCTGATAAGTTTTAGGGTTCATTCTTTACCGCCCCCCTCTCTAGAAGGTTCTAGGACTATTTCATTACCGTCCCCTCCTCTACGAGGTTCTAGGACTAATTCTTACTGGGGGGCAGTAACCCAAACGAAACCCAAACCCAGACTTAAGAGAGCTAACCTGGAATTGTGGCAAGGTTTGGTTTGGGAAACCCAAAATTTGTTTTCAGTTTTGCCCTCAGGGAGCTTACCCAAGCTAAAAGTCTAATAGCCCGAATCAAAATTTCAAACCGGTTTTGAACCGGTTTTGGGCGCGCGCTAGTTTCAAATTGATTCGTTGGTGTCAACTTGAAACTGGCGGTCTGTGGATCAAATTTGATCCAACTGTGATCCCAGTAAAGGACAGAAGGAAAGAAATACCTAAAAGTTTAACCTCAAAGACACCATCATGTTTTGAATTTATGGTTATAATTACATTAATGCACCTGTGTTTTCCATGTCTGAAAAATTATCAATTTATTTCTTATTCATATAGCTGTCTGAACCTACCGTTATTGGGAGGGAAACGGAAATTGAATTGTCATTTACACAATAAGCGTTATCAAAACCATGGCAATATTTACATAAGTAAACTAAAGTCAAATAAAAATCTATAGAGCAAGATATTTAAATCTTCCCATGGAATTACCATTATTTAATGACGCCGAATTGCATTTCCTTTGCTTCGTGCACTTTGGCTAGCTACCAGTGTACAAGGGTGCTGAAATTTAACTGTATTATATTATTATACAGATTTATTCACAAACAATTATCTATACTATACATATAATATATATATATATCAATTTATTCACACAGACATAAATACATATTACATATATTAATGGTTTCGTTTTCGATTTTAATCCATTTTTTTAAACGACTAATCTGTTTCGATACTGATTTAAAATTTACGGTTTCCATTAATTTTCTAAAACTGCACCGTTTCGTTAACGGAACTTTACCCATCCCTAGAGTAAAGGGTGGACATTTTACTTAATTCTTAGAGAACATGTGTTATGCAAAAAGAAGATGTATTTATCTTTAAAATTAAAGTACTGAGAGAAAATTTAGTATAAGCATAGAGAATAGAATATATAGAGAGGAATTTACTAGAAAAAAGTATAAAACGGCCATTTTGTTGTACTGTTTCCATACTGCAGGTGTACTTCACATATTTATGCTATATAACCTGTTGGGCCCTGGAATATCATTTTATAGAAAATCTAAAATTATTGTTAAAAGAAAACCAAATTATGAAATAGGCTGGTTTCATAATTGACCAATGATCATTTCACATAGACTCTATGACTTCCACTTTACAAACGATGATTTTCCGTTATAACTATAAATCAAATGATGTTTTGTATTCACCTAATTTAAATTATAAAGTTTATTTAACAGCTTTAAAAAATTTGAAATTGAAATGGATAGTCTGGGGAACATGCTGTATTAATGTACTCTACTGCAAATAATTTGTGAACATTTACATGATTTGTACACTTTGAACTCCCTTTCAGGCTGAAAGGGACTGACAAATTTCATACCGAGAAATTCTTTTAATTCCTCTCTAAATATTCTATTCTCTATGGCTGCACGGCTGCAAAATTAAAGTGATAGTTAGCGAAGAAGTATTCAATGACCAGACAGTATTTCGTAATAATAAACATAATTTCAGAATATGGCAACATTTGCTGTATGTATGTATAACCAAAATTAAGATAAATCTCAGAAAGGTTTTCCTGCACACAAAGTTATGTCCAGCCAATTGATCGTTAGTGAAATGTCCCTGCAAATAGATCCAGACTGCTATGAAAAGTTGCATTCGTGTTTTCAAGACTGGATCGACTTTGAAATGTCGCAAGTCTTAACCATAAAGCACTTGTTTCGGCTTAGGAGCAGTTTGCCTTGTTACATTTTGCCTAGTCACATTTTCCCATGTAACACGTTGCCTATAGTAACATTTTGCTTTAGTGACAGATTTCTTAGTAACATTTTTCCTTGATAACATTTTTCCTTGATAACAAATTTCCTTGATTTAAGTTTTCCTTAATAACAATTTTTTGTAAGAAATCTTGCATGTAGAACTTAAGAATGCGCAAATTTGTTTTAAATCGGTTAAAAATGAGGATAAAATAAACTGCCTTTTGATCATCCTTTTTCCTTTCATCTTCCTCCATTTTGATCTCTTGTACCTTCCCTTTTTTCCTTTTCTTTTCCCTTTCTCTTTGACCCCATTATCATTTTTTCGATATCCCCCCCCCCCTTGAAAAGCTCAAATTTTGGTTTAGTAAAACTAATCAGTAGAATTCGCAACGATTTTTGCGTGAGAGCTTGCAACCTTTGGAACGCTGTGCTAAAAAATTACAAATGTTTGTAAGCACGAAATACCTTGATAAATTCTAATGTATTCAGTTTATCATATTACAGAAAAAAGATGGTTTCTTCTAATTCTGAACTTTATATACATTTAGCCTTAGATATAAAAAAAATTAATTTTTCAAGAAATAAAGAAAAGTTAACTCTCTCATCTTCAAATATTATAAAAGATAAATTGCGGACAAACATGAGAATGAACGTAATCCTGATATGATGAAGAAAAAAATGCAAAGGATATTTTGCAAAATAAGGTCATCGTAATTTTCATGGTAAATTGCGTAATTTCATGCATAGGATCCCAAATATATCTTTCAATCTCAATCTTTTTATTCTCTTCTTTCAAGCTTCATCTTCTCATCTTCATTATCTCATCCTCATCTTCTAATCTGCATCTTCTCATCCTCATTTTCTCATCCTCATCTTCTCATCGTCATCTTCTCATCCTCATCTTCTCATCCTCATTTTCTCATCCTCATCTTCTCATCGTCATCTTCTCATCCTCATCTTCTCATCCTCATCTTCTCATCCTCATCTTCTCATCCTCATCCTCATCCTCATCTACTCATCCTCATCTTCTCATCCTCATCTACTCATCCTCATCTTCTCATCCTAATCTTCTCATCCTCATCGTCTTATCCTCATCCTCATCCTCATCTACTCATCCTCATCTTCTCATCCTCATCTTCTCATCCTCATCTTCTCATCCTCATCTTCTCATCCTTATCTTCTCATCCTCATCTTCTCATCCTCATCTTC